ACTTCTACAACAGTATCCTAAATGGTAACCATAACATTCATTGGGAACTGGAAGTCACTTCCACACTAATGATGAGGTGAAATACTTCTACACGCTTACAAAGAGGTAAGATCAAAACCAGACATAACCGTCAAAAAAGCAGACGTAAACATTTACCTAAAGGAGGGTATCTGCGGCACCAGCAGGAGGGGCACTCCTGTCTTCCGCGAGGTCCCGGCTGGATTCTTCTGCGTTTTCTTCTGTTGTGCGGCCGAACCTTTTTTCCGCCCATTCTGGTTCTGCTGCAGCGGAGGGCCTAATGTGTATGACCTCTGACCTCTGTTACCCCTGCCCCCCACCAACCCATTGTCTTCATCCCCCTCAGTGCCCGTACCAGGGGGCGAGTGGTTCTCGCAATAAGCAGTTTTCTTCACAGTAAAAGTGGTGCCGTGCACACCGGTTTCCCGCACAGGGTCGATTTTCATATAGAGACCGGCTCTCTGGGCACAAGTGACGTGAAACGCCCTGTAGCAGTTTGCTTTGTGGCACTGAATAGACGCCCCTCTGCCTTTCTGTTTGCACAGGTAACAGGTGAGCTTCCATCGTGCAGGAGGAATGTTTTTTACTCCCTCCACGGGCTCTAGGAACACCGTGTTGGCAAAGCACAATTCAGGGATCCATATGGCACAGATGACGTGGGCCCAACTTCCGTCGCTAGTTTGTTTGAATGCACCTCCCCGATTAGGGCAGAGGACACAATCGACGGGTCGCGACGGGGATTGCAGACAGCGCCTGCACAGCCACTGGCCCTCGGGGATGTAAGGCACCCCGTAACATTCCTGGTGTACTGCGAGATTGCAGATGTCGCAGAACAGGATGACGTTGCTGTTGAGACACTCGTCGTCAAGGCAAACGCAACAGTAGGCATCCTCGTCGATGGTGCTCTGGGACAGCGCCTGGCTGCGGGACTCCAAAATGGACTCTCGCTCAAGTCGGTCAATCAATAACTCAAAAGTATCAGGGGGGACGGAAGCGTGGCCATCGGACACTCGCTTCTGATTCACCATCTCTAGCCAAGCCATGTCCTCCTCGTCCATGTCATACTCGGCCTCGTTGTCCAACTCCTCCCCTGACTTCTCTATGTAGCGATAATAAGCCGCAGGAAGAGGAGGGGCTTCTGAGGCCATGAAAGTGTCCACCGTACGAAATATAGGCTTCGGCAGGGGGATTTGTGAATGAGCGACCTGACTTTGCAAGCCATTCTGAGAGCCAGATCTCTTTTTGGCTGCGTGTTTGCCATCTTTCCGCTTGCTTTTAGACACAGTTTGTTTGTTTCCCAGTCTTTGCTCACTGTTCTCTTTGTTACTGTTGCACTCCGTCAGATCCTGAGCCAGCATTTCGTCCTCGGTTACGACGGAGAGCTGGTCATAAATGTTGATCCGGTGAAGCCTTCCCTCCAGCTCAATCTCCACCATTTTCTGAGCCTGCGCATACGTAAGAGTGTCTCTGGTCATAGAGAAGTTCAGTCTGCATGGAGAAGGTGGACAGAGTAGGGCGTCCATGTCGGCATGGCTGGATGGACCAACTTGACCCTGATCCTCTCCTCTGCCAAAGCCTCCAGCCCTGGATTGGCCAACTCGTTTCTTTAACTTTCTCATTGAAGTTATCCTCTACATAAATGTTAAAATATGAATGGACATAGGTACCTGTAAGAACAGAAATATGCATTACCAATATTGACCAGATATTGCTGAAAAAACTTCTCAAGGCAAGACACTACAGGCAAAACCATTGTTTTTTCATGCACTGGTCAATTTTGACATTTTGGGCTATTTCGCTTCATAACAGGTCTTCTATTAGACTAGTAGATAGAAAACATCCCAAAATACAGATTTACGTGTTTCTTTTATTATTATTTACGTCTGTTGATTTCAATTACAATTGCACTTTTGTCTTGCCACAAATCTCCAATTCAGTAGCACCAAAATTTCCAGTTTTATTCCAATGAATATTATGAAGGTTGTTATAAAGAGGCTTCTTCATATATAATTGGTCTGGTTTATAACACTTTATTCCAGAAAACATAGATTTTTTATTTTTTTTATGGACTATGAAGAGGTAAAACTATAAAGAAGTATCCAAAGTCCCCTCTGTAAAAACTCTTAACATGTCCAAATGAAAAAATCAGATTATCAAATTGCATACAAATGTATGCAAATTTGTGCATATTTAAACATATAATTTCAGAAAACTTGCAACACAAAACATTTGTTATTAATAAATGGGGAGGATAAGGTGATATCTATTAGTTAAATCATGTTTCCCTATTCACCTGTAGTCGTACTCTTGCCTGATATCTATTAGTTAAATAATTTTTCCCTATTCACCTGTAGTCTTACTCTTGCCTTACCACAAAAAAAAATCTTAGACCAACAAACCATCTCGAGGTGGTTTTAACTGTTTTTAGCAACAACAGGACTGTCAATCAGCACATTTGAATAAACGCATCAAAATCAAATGTAGCAGCGACTCCACTCCTTCATGATGCGTTTGCTGTAATATAAAAAGTAAAAATAAACGCTTCATTGAGATCAATAAACATCTAATAACTACTAAATAAGGGATTTCTCAAATTAACAGACACACATCTTCTACAGTGTGCATGTCGCTCCATTTGTAACGTTGGTAATAAATGTATATCAGGTGAACCAATAGGATCCCGTGCTCATATCACGTGAATAATTCGAGCCAATCACCGGGCAGACCTTCAATTTTTCCTCGACCCAGTTGACGTAGTTCGGTTGCAGAGCGCTAAATACCAATCCTGAAGCGAGACAGACGCGTCAGTCAGCCATTTTAGCAGGGCTGATGGACAGTCTCAACCTCGATTGTTTTTCCTGATAACAAACTCTGACGGTGCACTATGCCTTATTTTCACTTTGTCAACCAAACGACAAATAATTGCATATGACGCTATAGCTCCGTTGCATGCAATGCCGTGTGTATATGCAGAGAATAAAGCACTTGTATGTAATAAAGCGCCGTGTAACAGTCAGCCAAGGCAGAGCTAGTAAATGAGCGCCTTCCAGTGCTGGAGCCATATTTGGAGAGTCCAAGAATGCAACCGCAGCGGCACTACCTGCCCCCGCGACATTACTGTTTACAGAAAGCAGTGCAGAATAAATCAGCAAACTTACTCCTTTATCGATCGCTCGAAATGACAGGGAATGCCGGTCATATCCAGGGGCGACAGCGTCCTCTTCTGTAGCAAGACGGGCTTCCTCAACCCTCCATTGATGAGACTTCCCACAAAAACGTTTCTAAACACACATCCCGGCTGTTTACACAACACTATCACCTTGACATGGAGTCCCAGTGTTTCAAATAGGCGCCTGACATTATTGCAGAGTGTTCGTGTGCATTGAACGTTGGTTTGTAATTAAATTGGCAAGAAAAATACGCCCCTTTAGAAAAAAAAAGGCGAATTCTCGGCGTTGGGCTTTGCACTTGGCGCGCGCATCATGCGGACTGCTCTGCCATTGGTGGAAATGGTCATCGTGAGGCCACGGAGTCTCGCTTAAGCCAATAGAGGCTTCGAGCGATAAGAAAAACAACACGAGAGACTTCCCTGAAATGTTTGCGCGCACAGACTCCATGTTCACAAGCTACATTAAACGTCCGTGTAATGTATGGTTTACTGTGCAAAAAGAACATAATTTCTTGATAGCAGTCGACATAGTAGCTAATAATAATACAACAACAACAACAACAATAGCCTACATAATACACATGTTTTAAATAAATTCCGTTTTCCGTCTGACCATATAAATGCAATATTTTAATGGTAGCGTATAGCCCATGTAATTTTTATCCACTTTATTAATATTATTATTATTTTGTTTGTTTATTTTTTTAATGAAATAATCTCACGTTTTAACAATTTGAGATTAGGCTACTACTTCATCCTTTCCGTTTTCCTCTGAATAAAGACTATGGCTACCTTTCGTTTGATGTATTTTATTGTATTAAAGTAATTTTTGTCCACTTTATTATTATCATTATTATTTTGTTTGTTTATTCTTAATGAAATAATAATCTGAATGTTTAAACAACTTGAGATTATTTCATCCTTTCAGTTTTTCTCTGAATATATAAAGATATCTTTTAGTCGTAGGCATATTGCATGTTATTTTTGTCCACTTTATTCATGAAGCTTCTGTAAGTCAAAGCTTGGTCATTTTTCCCCAGATACACTGGTGTTGAAGGGCATGCTATTTATTATAATATTTTTTATTTTCAATATTAGGTCAGACTGACCTAAGACATTGAAATTTAACACAAATGAAATGCAATGAATGCAATAGAAATTGCATGAGTTTTCAATATCCCCTGTAGGCCTATCTAATATATAGAGAATATCAGATCTATAATTCATCTTGCTCTAGAATATTCTATCAACCCACTTTTCATTATAAGTGTTTGGATGAGTTTCTCCACCCCCTGAAACTCATTGGCTTTCCCCAAGCCTTTAGTGGGAACCCTCTAATTCATTATTGTAAACCACACCACTGTCTTGATCAGCGTCAGTGTCAGTGCAGTCCCAGCACAGTGGAATTTCACTGCAGACATCATGGTAAGTATGAGATTAGGAGGGCGCTGTTTGATTTGAACCTTTTAAAGTCACTGCTTTTGTCTTTTTGATTTGAAGTATGCTGGAAACTCTGAGAATGCATTGATGGTCCTTGTAAAAAAAGTGTTTTTGCTCATGTATTATTGTCATTAACCTCAACAAAATATTAAGCAACAAGAACTAATATAAAATATGGTTAAACAAATATGTCTTGGATAAATGTTTATGTTATTTCATACAATGTATGTGTTGATAGCTTGGTTACAGGTCAGCATATGTTTTTTTTTTTTTATATTGCATATAATTTAGCATATTTAATACATAAATATTTGTATTTATTTTGTGTTTATGTTTTAAATAAGTGAGATTGTCTGTTTGGCTTGCAGGTCAGAATCAGCAACATGTTGGGAATTGTCTCTTTATGCTTTTTGCTGGGGTCAGAGTTCTGCATAGCAGGTACAAGTTTAATTGTTATGGATATAATGTAAAAGTTAAATATTGCAGTGACGTTGTTGTTTTGTCTCATGTGAAATTGTAATGATGTAATGGCATCACACAGCACAATTATTTCTTGTATTCCATCTTAGAATCGCCTCTCTTTCTCAAAGGAACACACTATAGTGGCATTAGTTACTTTTACGGCATCTTGTGTAATTTCAGAAAAAACAGCTATTATGAAATCCGTGCCAACTCGCCTTGTCCTCGCCGCATGAAGTTATTGAATTTCACAGGCCTGTCATATGATAAATGGCTAAAGAGTCAGCTGGGCACATCATCAAAGATAGTGACCACATCCTGCTTGGCACACTTCAAACCCCATTCTGACAGAGAGGAAGCCAGCCAGCTGAAATCTTCTCAAAAACAGTTATAAATCAATTCAAAGCGTTGAACAAGCAGAACAGTGTTTAAGACATGCCAAGCTATGACAGCACGTCGAGGACCCTCTGTGTCTGTCATAAATTCAATAAGAGGAGCTGATGAGTGTCAACATCACTCTATGGTGTTGATGGAGCCCTGAGGGCTTCGCTTAACTTTAGCTTCAGATACTCTTTGACTGCCCCGACCAGGACTTTGTGATCGAGTGACAAAAACATCAACTCCAATTAGTCACAGTTCAGCCCTGCAATGAGATTGTTGTCTCACACTTTTGAGAAAGGAGAAAAACACAGCCAAACGCTGCGTGTTCCGGAAACCCGGAAGCTGCCTAAGAGGGCATCAAACGCAGCCGTGCCATTCACTCATCATTATCTCCCTGAGATTCGCAGACTGGGCGAGGATGTGTGTTTTTTTTCTTGCTAAAGATGGCTGCCGAACAAAAGGTTCTCTGATGACTCTGGCTAATTTAAGATGGAGCTATTTGTGACACAAATGCAGCAGGAAATCAAGACTCCCAGCCAGAGAACTGATTTGGCAGATCAATAGAGGAGCCACTGAAATCTTGGCCATGTCAACTTGAGGTCACTTTTGAACAAACACACTCTTGAACAGATAAGCTTTTCAAATGTGTTGACTCAGTAGGACGCTGTTTTGTTTGTGCCTTCAAATTTCATTTAACTTTTTGTTTTTGCTGACATGCTTATTTATGTGATGGACAGAGTCCTGTGATGAGATTTTATAGCTACCGTTCAAAATGTCGGGGTCAGTAAGATTTGTTTTGAGAGAAATTAATACTTTTATTCAGCAAAGACACATTACAGATTTCTGTTTGAAACAAATGCTGTTCTTTTAAGCTTTCTATTCACCATGTATCATGGTTTCTACAAAAATATTAAGCAGCACAACTCTTTTCAACATTGATAATAATAAGAAATGTCGTACCAAATCAGCATATTATAATGATTCTAAAGGATCATGTGACACTGAAGACTGGGGTAATGATGCTGAAAACACAGCTTTGCCATTACAGGAATTACATTTTAAAATATATTAATTATGTAATAATATTTCACAGTATTACTGTTTTTACTGTGCTTTGATAATATGCCTTTCAAAAACATGCAAAAAATCTTACAGACCCCAAACTTTAAACGGCAGTATGTTTGAATTCATAATAAATTAATTATATTGTTAATATTTTTTTCCCATTTCAGCAAGGCAAGAACTGATAGTTACCACCATAAAGGTAACAATTGAATTAAGTTAAAAACTATGAAATGTGATGTTTGTATTTTAATATTATTTACATAGCCTAAACAATAATAATATTATACTAACAACTTAAATGTTTTCTTTTCAGCAAGACCCCTACACAATGAGCAAGGGCTCGCAGTTAGAAGGCTACTGTATGGATCTGTTCACTGAGCTGGCTAAGAAACTGGGTTTGAAATACAGAGTTCACCTGGTGAAGGATGGATCGTATGGCCGGCAGGACGAAAGTGGAAACTGGAACGGAATGATTGGGGAGGTTGTTAGAGGGGTATGTTATGCATTTTACAGGAAAAATACACAATAGTACATATTGTACTACTACATATAAATCTAAAATCTGCATGGCAATTAAATCATCCATGACATGAATCCTTCCCAAGTAGTGTGAAACCTTCCATGTATTTGGTTCTCAGGAAGCTGATCTCGCCGTGGCTCCCCTCACTCTCACTGCTGCCCGTGAGAAGGCTGTGGGAATGACAAAACCTTACATGCAGACCGGAATCAGTATCCTCCTCCGCAAAGATATCGTTTCTGAGGAGGCCGGCTTTTTTGCCTTCCTCTCCCCCTTCTCTGGGGAGACCTGGTTCGGCATCCTGATTGCATACTTTGTGACTGCAGTCTGCATCTGCATTGTGGGAAGGTCAGAGAAATGAGCAGAACACCAGAGACGCAAAGAACAAGAGCACTTTCTCATTTAATAAACACAAAGCGTGCTCTCTTTTTCAGAACAAGGATGGTTTCTGAATTTTTACTGGAACTGATGCTGATTTCTGCATTTGTCTCTTAATATCAAGGTTGAGTCCATGTGAATGGAGTGAGCCTGAGACAGAGCCGAATCGCTTCACACTTCTCCACAGTTTATGGTATGCTGTAGGAGCCCTAACCCTGCAAGGTAATCATCAAAATTAATGTAATAGCAGATTTTCGGGGTCAATGCAGAATACAAAATACTATTTTAGAATCTTTTCAATATCCTTCACATCCTCGTTGGCCATTTTAAACTGGTTCACTTTTATTTCCCTACACCTATGGCAAAATTTGTGGAATTTTTCCCCAAATTAGTTCCGATCACATTCAGACCAAACCTCTCAATTATAACGTATTGCATTTTTCGTGTTGTTCTGCAGAACCTTATGGAAGATTTTTTTATAATAACGGTTTATTTATATTTTGAGTGGTCAGATGTGGTGGGGAATTTCATGTTTACGTCATGTCCATCAGTGTTATTTTACTATTATACTATTATAATTTGTATTATTATTTTTAAAACATTTTAATTAAGTTTTCATTTTCATTATAGTTTACTTTAGTAATTGTTTGTTCTTTTGTTATTTATTTATTTATTTATTAATATTACTAGGTTTAATTTATTGTTATTTCAGCTTTAGATTTTTATATATTTGTCATTTTAGTGTTTAAACAAACTTTATCAGACCTTTTTTAAAAAAAATGTAAATTCCTATTTAGATTTAATTAATAAATTTATTTTTTTGTTTTAGTTTTAGTTCAGTTTTATTCATTTTCAGTTGGTAATTTTAGTGCTTCAACTTAAACTAATTTCAGTTATTCAGTAGTGCACCTTTAACAAAATGGCTGTCGATGAAGCAAAACTTGTAAAATGTCATCGCCGCCGTGCCCTTAAAGAGTATGCAAAGATTTATGCCTGCACCTCCTGTCAAAAGTAATTAACAATAATATCCTTCTATCCTTTCAACCAACTGTCTTTAAAAACAGGAATATGCAACATCCAATTACAGGAATACTCAGCATTACAAGGTGTTACTTGGCCTTTTATTGCTGCCTGCAGCTATTTTCCCATTTGAATTACTTTTCAGTCTGTGATAATGGAAGGATACATTTTTTTCTCTCATTTGTTTTGCTTTCTGCAGGTGCAGGCCCTCACCCTAAAGCTGTGTCAGGAAGGGTTATCAGTTGTACCTGGTGGTTGTTTGCCGTCGTACTCCTGGCCTGTTATTTTTCCAGTCTTAATTCCTCTCAGGGGTCTGACTCTGCTCCGCTCATGATTAAAGGGTTTGAGGACTTGGCTAATCAGGAAGTAATAGAATATGGAACGCTTGCCGGCTCCTCCACACTCGCCTTCTTTAAGGTCTGATCCCATAAATCATATCTGCACATTTTCCTGATTAGTAAAACTCATTCAAGCCCGATGTTACAGAAAGATTTCTTTACATGTTAACATTCTTTTTGCACAGAACTCCAATAACCCATCTTACCGCCGCATCTATGAGCACATGGAGCGGAGGAAGAGTTTTGTGACCTCTATGGATGAGGGTGTCCAGAGAGCAAAGGAAGGAAATTATGCTTTCATTGGAGAATCGGTGTCCCTGGACTTGGCTGTGGCACGGCATTGTGAACTGGTCCGTGCACATGAGGTCATCGGGATGAGAGGTTACAGCATCGTAACTCCTCTTGGTGAGACAAACATATTTCTGCTGTGGCCCTATGTGATTTTAAAGGTTCCTGATTTTGTTTTGGAGGTCTCCTACAACAGGTTTACATGCATGCAAAGTCAAAAAACACATTCATTTTCTAATAATATACATCAGCATCTTCTTTTTTCTCACAATGTCTGAAACGGTTCAATCAAGGATTTGGTCTCTCTAAACAAACTTTCTGAGAGACTACTCTGCTCTGATTGGTCAGATGGCCCAGTCTGTTGTGATTGGTCTTCCCTTTACAGTGCATGTCGGAAACGAAATGCTCATTACCATATCTGAATTTCAGCTCCAGAGGCTTCCTAAGCACTTGTTTACGCAGTGATATGAACAGTAACAATGGTTTTACTGTATTGTTACTGTTCAGTAGTGATGTAAGGCAGTAGTGATGAATACTCTGCATGTAAGGGCGCGAGTTAATGTAGAGTTCTCATCCTTTGGAAGTGCATGCAAAGTGGATTTAATTTATAAAGCACAGAAAATTGCATCTTCTCTGCATTTCAAATGGGGAACCAAACTTTTCCAGGCCTCAGCTACAACTATGTGTTTCAGGATCGTTTACATTTACTTGACAACGATGTGCTAAAAACGGAAAAGTTTTTCCTTTGTGTTTTTCGCATACAGACGACAACATTTTCAGAATGATCTCTGCGAATCTCCACACAGATCCGCAAAAACGATTAAGAACGCTGTGTTATGTCACTTTGTGTGAAAAACTACGCACCTACAAGTAATACGCATGTGCATGACGTCACCTTTTTTACAAATTCACGTTTTTGTTGTTTACATGCAGGTAATAACGGTATTATAAACTTGCACTTTGAAAACAGTTTTCAAAAGTTTGCGTTTTCAGTCCCTAAAAATGTCGTTGTCATAAAAATGAACAGCCAAAACACATAAAGAGTTTTCTATATTTAGTTGAAAAAAGGTTTTTACATTCACAAACAGCTATATGACACTAAATGAAAAGTAATATTCGAAAAAACATAATAGAGGCACTTTAACATACATTAAAGTTTACCCAAGATATTATTTTTTCAGGTGGATTATTTGTTTAAAGGGAGGCAAAAGACGTTGATGTTTTTTTGCTTGGTTTTAATTCCTCAGTCTGTTTCTTGGAACAGGATCTCCTATGCTGAAGAACCTGAGCGTGGCCATCCTGCAGCTGAGCGAGGCTGGGGAGCTGGAGTACCTGCGCACTAAGTGGTGGGCCAGCAGCTGTATACCGGATAGTGCCAAAGCCTCGTCTCTGAGGGCTCATAGCATGAAGGGCATCTTCCTGGTTCTAGCTATAGGTCTTGGGATTGGAGTGCTGCTCTCCTTGTTTGAACTCACCTCAAAGTCTCGCAGCACTGCAGGGGAGCAGAAGGCAAGTATTGCCAATCACACACACAACAGAATTTTCATTGGCTTTAAGTTTCAGCACAGATTTAGTAGCACATTTTGATGAGCGTTTTTGATCATTATAAAATGTTCGGTGAAAATAAACCTGTTCTCAACCATACAGAAATCCTGCTGCACAGTTTTGACTCAGGAGCTGAGCCAGCGTTTGAGAATGACCAACACAAAGGGAGACCAAGAAACCTCAGACAAGAACAAGGCATAAAAGGTTAAACAACAGTGATGTAATATGTAAGTCTTACATAGCAGAATGACTTAACTGTTCATACTGTAGGTCTGTACATTATCTGGTGTTAGGTATTATTACTATTTCCCATGCTAGAAAATATATTTGATACTTTTTAACAGATACATAATTATGTACATGTTAATACATCATTTTCATTTTTTAAAACGTTTTAAATTTAAATCAAGCTACTTGTTTGTTCAGTGAAGATGGTGCAGGGAGGTACCTTCTTTTCATCTGAATATTGCAGCAAAATCTCATGTAGCTGTTTGTATTTTAGATAATTGTCATGCATTCCAACTTGAAACCATAGACCATCACTATGAGTCTAAAATGTTAATGTAAAATCTATTTTGCTAATGAATGACAAAGATTGGAGACATCTGAAAATGTCTATAAAAAAAGTAAAATATTTTATAGAAGTAAAAATGACAAGTAACATATTACAGTTGTTTTGTAATTCGAACATGGGGAAAATATATAAAATTGCGTACAAAAAAAATCACCTCTACTGTCACAAAAGAGGTATTTGTTCTGGCACCATGTATATTAATGAATTAATAAACTTGGACTTACACCAAAGTGTGATTGCATTATTTAAGAAGCATATGTTTAGTTTTAAACACAGAGTATTTAATTGCATTATATCTAAATCAAAATGGCAGCTTCCAGATGCAAAAGACAGAATGTAACATTCCAGGCTACTTTTTGAAAAAAAATATGAACACATGAATTATGAGCCCAGATGACATGAGCAGATGATTAAGATTTAAGTAAAATAATATTTGTACAAAATACTCCTGTAGCATCTGTCCATATCCATCACAGTAGCTGCGGTGTGGCCTTTTCTTTTCGGTTCTGTTTCTTTTTAGGTTTCACATGCATGGCTTTTCTACAATGTTGAGGAATCTAAAAATGTATAAATAAATACAAAAACAGTCAAAATCTCTACTAAAATATAGCGTGATTTTTGATAGACATTTTAACCAGCATGAAAAGAGTATTAATTTAAAACACAATTTATAATTTAGGAAAGAGCCTTTGGCACTATTCTGTGCGTTACGACGACTTACCTCTGAAAAACAGTGGCGAATGGCAGTGAATCTCACGCATTTTCTGCTCAAACAGAGCATTCATTTCCCTCTGCAGTGTGCCCATTGTCTGCTGCTGGTTGTCAGGGAAACGGGATGGCAGAGAACTCAGGTCAAGGCTGTCCAAACTACTTAGGCTGCTTGATTCACTTTCAGCAAGGTTGTGATTATTAGGAGCAGAGTTTTTTGGTGCAGAGTAACTACACTGTGGGAGAGGGTATTGGTTGAGGAATTCTTTCCTAATGAGACCGGTTGTGTTTGGCGGAGAGGACGGACGGCGTCTTGGGACGCTTTGTGATCTGCATCCTTTAAATGGTGAATCTTTGGAAGATGCTGTGCCTTGGTCGTTCCTGCGTCTGCTCAGTGCAGGTGTTGCAGGGATTGACATTGGTTGCCACAGGGGGTTAAGCCTACCATCTATAGAGGCTCCGAATTTATTATTGAGCACCGGATTTCTGATGTTTAATGTTCCACTATAAGGATCTAGTACTCCATCAGGTATTGGGTGGAAATTCAAGGGTTCACACTTTTGTGTAGGTTCTGACTGAATTTTTAGATGGCTCTCTTGAAGTTCACACAGCTCAGGTTCCTGCCCTGAATCCTCAATAACAGATGTAGCACCTGAGATCTGCTTCAACAAGAGTTGCTCATTCAGTGTAGAAGCAGCATCCTTCTTCTTAGGTACCTGTAAGTCTGCAGACTCGCACTCCTGTTTAGATGTTGAAGGTAATTCATTTAGTTTTGAAACAGTCAACTCCTTGTTATCCTCAAGGTGTGATTGAACCACAGAAATCTGAATGTCTAATTCTGAATCAAATGCTAAGTTGTTATAGTCCATAGCCACTCCTGCTCCACCAGAGCATGTGATAGAGGACAGGCGGCGCCGTGCCTCATGAGATCCTTCTGGCTCCTGAAAACAGACCTTATGGGCCCTTCTCAGGGGTTCACTTTGAGCTCCTCTGAGCAACGACGCAGTCTGTGAGGTGCTCCTGCTGTCCTTCGAGCTCACGTCATCACTGTAACGTCGGTTTAGAAAGTCCTCTTTGGTGTAGCAGTCGGCTAAACCCTTCACGACTTTTGTTTGGTTCTTCCCAGCTCCACTTTTACGCAGGAAGTTTGCACCGAATGACTTCCTTGTGCCGTCTTCAGAGGTCTGCATAAGGTTTTTCTGGATTAGCTGCTTTACTGCGTTGCTTGATTTGACCTGGTTATGAGTATATCAGAAAAATGGCAATTAATAAAAGGCAGAATAACTTCCTACAACAGCTAAATTTATGTAAGAGAGAAATCGAATCAAAAGTTACCTTTACTGTGATGTCATTAATGCCAACATGCACAAAGATAGATGCTTCTTCCATACCTTCTAAATAGACATGCCGATATCCTGTGGGACAAGAAAATAATGTAAGTCTGACTGACTGAATTATTGATGAAAATGTAAATGTATACATTGTCTGTGCAATAAAGTCATCTATTGGCATGCAGTTTACCTGGCATCATGCTTTTAAATGCTATGGTTCTCTGTCCAATGAAGTCTCGTCCAATTGGATCATGATCCCAAACCATAAAGCGCACCAAGGCAATCTGAGGCATGTGTAGCGTAAACACTAGCGTTTCCTCCCACATGGGGTTAAAACCTGTTAGTATGACATTAAAATATGAGAAATGTGCATATATTTAAAACAAAACTCAGCTGTTAATTTGCTAATCTTTAATTGCGACCAATGGTTCATTTTGAATCGGAGACTCTCATTTGAGTTCAAGACTCGTGAATCTTTTTGACTGACTGGTTCTTTTTGACTGGAATGGTTCATTTGTTTGAGAACTGACATCACATGGAAAATAACTTTTTTAACTTGGCACAGTGCTTTAAAAATACAAAGACATCTGTCTAGCATTTGTTTACATCAAAAAAAGTTGTGGAACTCAAAAACGTGTTCTGTTTGAACGTCCCCAGACACAAATTTAAAATAAATGTCACACATTGAGTCCTGTTTCCATCAGTGTCAGTCACTACAAACACATATGAATCAACCACTAACCTTATAGATTCCATTATATCTGAATTACCAATACTGCCAAGTTCGGTTAGCGCAATCCATATTTGTACTTACCATTGTCGTCCACTACTCTTGTCTGCTGTTTATTGCAATCAATAGGCAATCCAATTATCTCCACTTCCACAAAGGGATCTATGATCTGAACAACAAAGCAGTGAAACCCAGATCGCATGTTACACATTATTACTTACTTTCATTTTAAGTATGAGTGAACTCACCTCTCCTCTGTCCCCTAGCATGGAGTCTTTTGGCTTCGGTAGTTGCTGGCCACTAATTATCTTGAGCACCAGCTGAGATTTCCTGTGTCCTAGCAAAGGGTCTTCCAGTGTAGGATTAAAGGCACCTGAGGACAATCATTATGTGTGGTGAAGATTGCCTTTCAAAGAAAATAATAAATATAATGCATCAAACAAATGTATCTTTTTTTACCTGTACTCTAGAGACACCATCTTACCTTTACACATGCATTTTGGCTTCAGCACATAGCCGCAGTTTCCATTTGCTGCAAATTTCGCTCTGTTCAGCTGTAGCATACGGCCTTCTGTTTGATAGTTGAGAGCGACTGGAAAGATGAAACAACATTTCAAACAAATGCACAGTGCAACTGGGAAAAAAAAGAGAGAGCCATTTGCCAGCAGTGATCCATTGCTGTTCAAATAAAAGTCTTCACTGTTTCATCATTAATGAAAAAACAAAAGGCTTTGATGATAACTAGAAAGGAAATCATTCATAATTGATTAAAGAAAAAAAGCTAAATCAAACCTAAATGACATCCTGCGTTCCAAAAAGTCTGAGGATTGAAGTTGCTCGAATCAACACGGTAGTTGGAGGGGTAGACTCTTATGAGTTGTCGCTGATTGAAGCGAACTAACTGGGCAGGTTTTAAATGCAGAATCTGGTTAGTTATGCTCTCGTTTAAGGAGGAGACTTGCCAGCTGCACATGTATGCTGCAACACCAATACAGTTTATTTAGACATAAACATCAAGAATACATTTACAGTTTGTGCTCATAGAGGTTGCAACTGTCTTACCTTGAGTTTCTATATCATGAACACGCACTGACTTGGTGTATTTAACGAGATCAGAGAGGGCGCGAGAAAGTCTCATTGTTTTCCTTCGTCTGCAAAAATGTCCATAAAACATGGACTATCATTAGACTGGACAGATTTAGATACACACTGTACAAAATGTTTGTAAGAATGCAACAATAAATACAATAAAACTATGACAATTGATTAACTGTAAGTCACCTCACTAATTTGTATGAGATTTCATTTTTACAATAATGTAAATATATATATTTAAAATAAAATGTTTACATATAAAAATATTATTTAAATATTTAATATGTTTTGTAATAAAAAAAACTTTTTGCTAAAACAATAAAAATAAGTTTTCATACATGATCAATCACATTTGATTTATATAATTTCTCTCTTATTTTAATGGTCAGTTATGTACATTGGGGCATTCAGACATATATTTTATACTGTTTAAATAAAATGTATTGCATAGATAAAAATACAGTCATGAATATACAGGCACCAAAATCCCATCCTGTAAATTAAACTGCATGTTTTTTGTTGTTGTTGTTGTTGTTGTTGTTATTTTTTACAGTACACAGAGAATTCAACAAGAAACTGTATCTCCTGAAATACTCACTTGCCATAGTTGATGGCCTGTTTATCGTTACTGCTTGGGATTTCCTGCTCAGTATCAGAGTCACTCACGTTGGGCTTCTTTTTTAATTTCACACGTTTTTTCTTCTAAAACACAGATTGTGGAACATCATAACACTAGACCGTATAATGCTGCTTTCGTGATATTTTCCCCTATTTTACTGGAAATGTGACAAGTGGAAAGGGTTTGCAGACCTTGCGCCTGAAGCTGCCCATGAACGACCTCCGTGAGCGTTTCTTCGATTCATCACCCGTCTCTAGTGC